TTTTCCTCTAACAACTGCTGTAATCTCTCTTCTTGTTTCAAGAAAACCTGCAACAGTGGCAGCTCGAACAACAAAATCAACTGCTGTTGTCTCTCTTCTTGTTTTTTTCTTTTTCCTCCAAGAACTGCTGTAATTTCTCTTCTTGTTTCTTTTCTTTTTCCTCCAAGAACTGCTGTAATTTCTCTTCTTGTTTCTCTTCTCGTTCTTCTTGTTTCTTTTGCTGTTCTTGTATTGCTGCCATCAAATCTGCTAAGCTGTAGTTTGATTTGCCGCTTCTCGTTTCCATTTCTTTTATCCCACTTCTGACACCAATTTGTTACGTCTCCTTTCGTTAGTTAATTTTCCGTTAAATTCGTTCCGACGAAACTTTAGCGACACAAGTCCTTTCTTAAATAAAACTGGTTTATTCTTTCTGAGTACAACTTTACGATACACTTAATTTCAACAGTCGGTCTATAACAAACGCTATAACGAACGTCTCACGTGGCCAACAATATTCTGTCCGCATACATTCAATTACTCATTCCCTCCCGTCGCTTCGTGGCCGGTCTTATATATACACAAGACTACATACACTATATCTAGAAGGATCACGAGATTTAAGGAAAGGACGTGAATGTTCGAGAACGACGTGGCGTGATACTAGTCACGTGACCTTGATGTCGTAACAATATTCTCTTTGTATTGCTGGATGATTCCCATTAGAAAAGGTACTGTAATATGATCATCTGATCCACATTTCATTCAAGATAGTGGACTAATAACTTATGTACTGATTTTATCTTTGGATAGTGTTTCTTAAAAAAAAAGATGGAACAGATACAGTAACTCAGGTAGCTGATCTTGGCCTTGTCCATCATACTGGATTTATTATATTGATATTCTCCCTGTACCTCTGGATTATTATTCGTAGAAAAGATACCACAATACAGGTAGCGGATCCAAACATCAAGCATTATAATGTACAGGCTATAATTCTGTTCTCTTTGTATCTCAGAACATCTCTACTTAAAGATACTGTAATGTGACTAGCTAATCTAAACCTCATGTAGGATATTTATTACATTGATACTTTCTTTGCATCTCTAACTTTTTCTTGGAAAAGGTATTGTCATCTGAGTAGGTAATCCAAACTCAGGTACAATACTGGGTGTTCACGCTTATATCCTCTTATATCTCTGGATAATTCCTCTTAGAAAAGGTAGCTTAATGTGGGTAGCTAATCCAAACTTCATGCATGATACTCAACCTATTGTTATTTTCTCATTTGGTTTACAACTGATTTTACTTTAAAATGATACTATAATGTAAATAATTAGTCTAAACTTTAGGCATGATACTAGACGTAATATATTTATTTTCTCTGTTTGTACTCTTCTTAGAAAACATATTGTAATATAGGTAGATGATCCATGCTAAGACACAAAATTAGTTACATTTTCCCCAAATGGTTTTGTAGTGTTAGATTTTTGATATCTTTGTCCTTAGAAAATTGACAGTTGGGATGAAAAATCACACACCAAATTTCTGGAATGGTAATTTAGAAAGTACATTTTATCCTCTTCTTTACTTTCTTTTCAAACCTTTCGCAATCCAATTTTGGCCCAGCAGGTCTTTTTTGCTGCTTTGTTACATGCTCTAATATTTTTAGTCATAAAGCTTCATAATGGCTGCTTTTTAACTCTAAAGGTTTCTGCTTGATTGCACTTTGTATGCCATATTATATATTAAAGTTTGTTTATAAAGTTGCATTTGTACCTAAAAAGCGTTCTGTTCATCAAATGTAAATAATTTAACCAATTTATATCATATGTATATGTAGACACACACTTACTAACTGATGCACCTTCTTACTGCACAGAAAAGACATGGGGTGGGGCATCCTAATCTGACTTCAAATGTCACCCCCTTGGAGTACTAAAGGTACATAGTTTAGGTAACAAATAGTCCAGCACTTCATCAGTTATAAGTGGACACATTCACAACTAATCAACTAATGACTTATATACATATTTATTATTATTATACCTACCACATGTGCTATGCTTGGTTGATCATAGTCATCATCTCTTGTAGATGATGGACCAGGAGGGCCTGGTGGTCCTGGTGGTCCTTGTTTATAATACAGTCCTATAAAAGAAAGTTTAAAAGATGCATTTTTACCAATCAAGAATTAATTAAGAGTATACTACACACACACGCACACACACACATATATATATATATATATATATATATTCAAAAAACTGTCTTTTTACTATTGATATTTATTTTAACAGTTGATATTACTTAATAACTCCTTTATCACAATAACTAGTGCTATATTACAAACTTACAATACAATGACACATACATATAATTATTACCTTCTTCGGTCTTCCTTAACTTATCAATTTTGTCACTTTATATAATGAACTTTCTGATATTTAATATAAATAGAATACTATCCACAACTGTACTGAATCTAGAAGCTGTGAATACTTGAAGTGTCTTATTTGCACTACCGTGCCAGAAGTATCTTGAACCACGGCAAATTTGGAAAGAAGAGTTCATAGGAAGTGAGGAAAGTTCATACATAAAAACTACTGCAGTGTAATCCACTGTGCATGTAGCCATTCAACAGTAATTTCCTACAAGATTGATATCAAAGTATGATAAACATTCTTTTCTTAGGAATATTAAAAAGAGCTGGAAATTATTTCACGCTACAAATTTACAGCAACTTTGCTGCATTCAACTTATGAGATATGTTTAGTCTGACCTCTATGAGTATGGAACTTCGGAAAAGCTGGAATAAGTGATGCCTAAGGGGACTCAACACCATTTCAGTCATAGTTTTAGGGACGTGATTAGATCCACTTCACATCTTTTCAAAATAGAAACCAAATATGAATCTGCAAGTGGATATTTGAACTATTTGATTTTGATTATGTTTTTTGTGAAGGTGATACGTTGTAGGTTGCATTTTGTGCAATGGGTGTGGAAATTAGCCACATATATTAAATAAACCTATTACAGGGGTTGTGGTAGGAGTGTTTTGTTAGCAGGCCAATGTGTTGCTCGAAACTGGATAAAGGCCTCTGTCACAAAGCACATACAAAGTACCAATATTAACATTTAGGAATGACCCTTCACGAACCCAAGTCATAACCCCATAGAATACCTTTGAGACCAAAGAGTGGAGTAAATTAGAAATGTTAAACAACAGTCTTCCAGCTATCATCAAATTGCAGAACAACAATAAACATAAGTTCTACTAGACACCAGTTGAAATATAGTTGAAAACAGGTCTCCCATAATAAAAGCAATTCATGCCAAGGGTGTTGTTAGGTCATACTACCTAGTAACCACTAGGATTCTTGCACCTCTATGCTTAGCAGGGTAGAGTAAATGTATTCTCTACTAAATTGTCTAATACTAAATTATGAAGTAGCTTCTTATAAAGATATAAAATGTTCAAGTATAGTCACAGAAAACTAACCAGACCATACATGATTAGTTGGTAGAATCAATAGTCTCACCTTTGTTTGCAAAACCTCTTTTCCTTCTGTAAGCTTGTAGAAAAATAACAGTTTGTTTTAAACACTTACAAGTTCCACAGCTGGAAAATTATGTTTAGATGTAAAAATTGAAAATTAATAATTAATAATCTATGTAGTAAATTTAAGATGTTGTAATAGATTAACCACAGCAAAAGCTAGTGAAAACAGTTATTATTAAAGTTATTGTAATGATCTCAAACAGATTTCAGAGTTTTAAATTTTGTGTTTAGTAATTCCATTTGATATTTTTTATGCACCAATCTGATTTTCTTGTTTGAATTCACATCGAAAATATTTCTAAAATCTTTAAAAAGTCATCCTTCAGGGAAATGAAGCAAAGTGTTAATACTAACACACAATCCTATATTAGTATTGCAAAGGTTTTAAAGAAATTGTATTTAAATTTCCACAAAGATTCAAACTCATGAATTTTCCTGACAGAAAAGTGATTTGTCCAACTAACCTAGTACGCTTAAATAAGGCAACCCTGAGTCTTCATTTCATTGATTTTTTCTAAGAAGGAAACAACAACAAGATTTTCAAGCTATAAGAACCAATGTTTAACACATTGCTTTTTTTAACATTAGTATGCACTATTACTAAGCTTCAAATTCAGCTAAAAGTCTAATCTCATCAACTTCCATCTTAAAGCAGTGACATAACAGTTTATGAATGTAAATGCTGAGTAGCTTGGCTTAACCTTCCTAATTTTCTCTAATGAGTTAAATTTTAAGAGTTTCTTTATTCAAACCTGGCAGTTTACTGGATTAAGTTGAGAAATGTAAGCTGAATAAAAAGGTGTGTTTTAAAACAGATAGGAAATGATAGCAAGCCTTCTTATTTATAGGATCATACCTACTAAGTAACACTAGTCATTTCATGCAATGAAAAAACACCTATAAAATTGCTAATTTTTATGGAATTTTAATCATGATTATTGATAACTTTTTATAAAAAGAAGCTTCAGGAAAGAATACTTTATAATCCATAGCTAAATAAACTAACAAAAGAAAAATGTTCCCTATGTTGATAACAATTATTACTAATATTTGTTTGCAGAAGACCAGTGCTGTGAAAAGTTTAGTTCATAACAAATTCCCTTGTGCTATTTTTTGAAAGCTCTGGTGTACACCTATTTATAATAAGTTTTGAAAACAGGTTTCATCACTTTCTTTTCCACATTTGTTGATTATATTATGCAGATAATATTTTCTTAGGATTTGTGTATAAGTACTACATACAGTAGTTTCGAAGTCAGCAAAGCCTCCTCGTATCAAGGTATCAATGTTGCTCTGTATTCTAAAGGTTCTCTATCTGTAATCACGGCAAAGCTACTCAGGCTATATTCCGTTGTCTTTAGTTTTTAAATAGCTAGTCAGCTAGTCAGCAACACGCTACCATCTACTATCCACACTACTGGATTGATTGTCAATCTTATACTATCCACAGCTTTAGAGAAAGAATATTTTGTGGTGCTGCACAGATTTAAGCCTATCTAATAAACTCTAAAATCCAGAGCTTTACTACAGAGCCATCCTGCCCCTTTAACTGTTCATCACTGATTTTGTCTTCGAGAAACTTACATAATTTAAACTTTATTTTTCTATAATTTATTATGTAATGTGAAGCAGAATGCACTCTGCTCAAAACTGTTAAAGAATAGTTATATTTTAGTCCAAAAAGGGAAACATTAGTTATAAAATAATACCAATCACCTCACACAATTAATATTTATGCAAATTAAATATTTAATGATCAATTATGTGATCGTAAACACAAATGTTTGTTCATTCAGCCTACACTTGTAAATGAACTCGTGATAGATATGGGTTTTATATCTTTTCATAACAATCCATTTCAATATGGGGTATGCCTACCATTAAGAGCAAGGGCAATATAGTTTCCATGTTGAATGATCTAAATGAGAATGCCTATAATGTCCTGAGTTACTCTTGACCACTCCTCTGAATTAGCATGTGGTTAGTTACTAGAATGTGGCACGTTTCCCATATTATATCTTTATTTTTAGTCTGGGGCCACTTAGTAGAATACGATGCAATTCCAAAGTGCATGCAATATATGATTGATAGGATTGAATGTGAAGGCCGATAAAGTTGACTAATCTAATCTTTTTCATGGAATTTGTTGACAGATTAGCATGGTGGAGCTGGATGTTATTGTTCTTTACGCTGTAGTCAGAAGCAACAGTGTGTGGTAGAACAAGGACTTAAGATGTAGTCTTAATCATATATAGCATTGGTGGTACCCTTATACAGGATGTACAACTCAATACATTCATCAATTTGTGTTCCTCCTTACACCAGTATTTCCACCACTGTCATATGTCATCTTGATATACCAAATGAGTAAAAGTCTATTGTTTGGCTGCACAGTGAAGCATGATCCACCTGTAAGAAGAATGTTACTCCATATGCAGTTGTTCCATTGGACATTGAGCAGTATTGCAGGTGAACTGTTGGATTGCACTTGGTTATGAGCAGAAGCATAATGCTCATCAGTGGGTATTTGGCATACAACCTGGGCTTGAGAAAAGTGTTTCTAACCAGCTGTACTTTAATAAAAAGTCCCTTGTGACTGCAAATACAATATTCATTCTGAAAACTTCTGTATTCAAGTGCAATGAGGAAGAATGGACAACAAATGGTTGTCTGTTTGTGCTTTAGATAGTGGTCTTGTTTGTCTGAACAACAGTAGCATTGGTTTGGAAGAAGACTCACTTGCTACTAATGGTAATTTTAGGCACTTGGAACCAATTGAGAATAGACTTGCAAGCTTCAATTTGTCACTTGCTACTAAAGGCAATGTTAGGAATTTGGAGCCAATTCAGAATAGCATGATGTGACGTGCAAGCTTCAATTTGTCACTTGCGCTAATGGCAATGTTAGGCACTTGGAGCCGATTCAGAGTAGCATGATGTGACTTGCAAGCTTCAATTTGTCTCTTGCTGCTAATGGCAATGTTAGGCACTTGGAGCCAATTCAGAATAGCAGGATGTGTCTTGCAAGCTTCAATTTGTCACTTGCTGCTAAAGGCAATGTTAGACACTTGAAGCCAATTCAGAATAGCATGGTGTAACTTGCAAGTTTCAATTTGTCACTTCCTGCTAATAGCAATGTTAGGCACGTGGAGCCAATTCAGAATAGCATGATGTGACTTGCAAGCTTCAATTTGTCTCTTGCTGCTAATGGCAATGTTAGGCACTTGGAGCCAATTCAGAATAGCATGCAAGCATCGTTTTGTCTAATGGCTCTTCAGATGAGTAAAACATGAAGTGTTTTAAATTGGGCAATTCACTTCAAAGTGACTAATAATTCACATTTAAGATCAGATCACTAATCATCAGATGCCTTATCTTCGTAACAATGAAATGAAGGGGAGGGTGATTAATACTCATTTATAATATCGTGTTTGTCTTGCCTTAGTCAATATTAGTAATTTCGATTATTCTTTAATTGATTTTAATTAGTGTGTAGTATATAGTGATTATGATATATATATCTTAGAAAGTTCTTACATGATCAACCCATTTTAGTTCTACATAAATCCCAGAACTTACATGAAACATAATAATATTCATTTTATGATAAATAAAAACATAATTAAAAGATAAAATATGGTTTCAGTCTAGATAATTTTGATATGTTGATGAAACACTACTTTATAATAACTTATCAAACTGAACTATAAAACTCAGTTTGTACTTTCTGGTAAGTAAAAGATACTTGGTGTGTTTTACTTCATTAATTAATAAGAAATATTTGATGTAGTGCACTCCATAGTGTGTAAGAAATATTTGATGTAGTTTGCTTGATGGTTTATAAGAAATATTTGGTGTATAATCTACTCGATGGTTTGCAAGAAATAGTTCATTTAGTTTATTCCATGGTATGTGAAAAAAACAAATTGTGTATATTCCTCCATAGTCTGTAGGAAATACTGAATAGTCAGGGCACTTTTAGAAGGTAAACCTTCTTTCTTTGGATCACTTTTGGAAGGTAGACCTTCCTTCTTTGGATCACTTTTGAAAGATAAACCTTCCTTTTTTGGGTCACTTTTGGAAGGTAGACCTTCCTTCTTTGGATGGTAAACCTTCTTTCTTTGGATCACTTTTGGAAGGTAAACCTTCCTTCTTTGGTTCACTTTTGGAAGGTAGAACTTCCTTCTTTGGATCACTGTTGGAAGGTAAACCTTTCTTCTTTGGATCACTTTTGGAAGGGAGACCTTCCATTTTTTGGAAGGTAAACTTTCTTTCTTTGGATCACTTTTGGAAGGTAGACCTTCCTTCTTTGGGTCACTTTTGGAAGGTAGACCTTCCTTCTTTGGATCACTTTTGGAAGGTAAACCTTCTTTCTTTTGATCACTTTTGGAAGGTAGACCTTCCTTCTTTGGATCCCTTTTGAAAGATAAACCTTCCTTCTTTGGGTCACTTTTGGAAGGTAGACCTTCCTTCTTTGAATCACTTTTGGAAGGTAAACCTTCCTTCTTTTGATCACTTTTGGAAGGTAAACCTTCCTTCTTTTGATCACTTTTGGAAGGTAGACCTTCCTTCTTTGAATCACTTTTGGAAGGTAGACCTCCCTTCTTTAGGTCACTTTTGGAAGGTAGACCTTCCTTCTTTGGGTCACTTTTGGAAGGTAAACCTTTCTTCTAAATGGAAAAGAAAGAAAAGTTAATCTTCCAGTAGTGTTTGGGTTATAAGGTATATTTTGCATTTGAAATTATTTATTGGATTTTGTTTCACTATATAGTCCAGTGACCAGAGTTTAACCTGCACTTTAATAAATTTGGAAAACGTAAACTTTTTAAGTGGTTTAATGGAAAACACCTACCTCTTCCTCCTACAGGATTCTGAAGCCATTTAGGATAGTATTGTGAACCTGGAGGTCCTGGAGGACCTGGAGGCCCTGGTTTACCAATCCCTGGTGGGCCTGGTGGTCCAGGAAGACCCTCAATTACTGTTCCAGGGGAACCCTGGAGAAAAATGTCATGGTTTAAATTTTTAAAAGAACCTGCAGTTTACTTTAATTAAAATTCATTCATTTAGGTTTTCCATTACAATTAATGAGTAATAAAACTGTTATGTATCTGCTTGTTTGTTTGTTTCTAGTAGAAATTCTTTCTGAGGATCTTCTCAGCGATACATGTCCTTTCTTGATTAAGCCAGTTTATTCTTCCTCGATACAAACTTTTAGTACACAGTAGTTCCACAATCAGTACGTTTCTCTTCACTTTAAACTTGACAACTTGCTATAAATCACAGCGATTCACAATCTCGGTAACTTCGCTCTCGACGAGTGCAAAACGCATACTTTACGGCTCACTAGCTCGAATCATAAATACAGAATCATAAATTACACGGAACTCAAAGTAACTACTGCTCTTTCTTCATTTATATATCCCCCGCACTGGCTTTCCTCTGCCAGGCTTATATACTAATGAAGAGGGCATCTCCAACACACTCAGACTTCCCGATCATTCGAGAAACTCATCACGCACGCCACCAGTGCCAACTCGCCAGCAATGTCACGTGACTTCCGCTGTGGTAACAAAACAGTATTGACAAAAATTGTGTAATACACAATGGATTTTGCTACATACAAATACAAGATATCTTTCCTTTCTTACAAATATCACTGGCACTGCATTCAATAACAAATTTACTTGACAATTTGATGAGTATGTTTTCTCTCTTGTTGCAGTGAGTTTTGATTGTTTTATAAAACAGGTTTGGGTCATGATTTTGGTTTTGTACTGAAAAATGTACTATACCTTTAGTTGTGTAATCAAATTTCTGGAACACTTAAATATATATTGTTTATTGCAATGTTTGGAAAAATCCTAGAATGTTGATGAACAATTATTCATAAGTTGTTTGGAATGGAGAATACTTTACATCTAAGAAGAAATCAAATATATAAAACATAGTAATTAAATGTTTCACTTCCATTTTCTTATGTTAAAGATATCTGGTCACCTATCATCATTTGGATGAGTATTTTACCAATACGTGGTTCTTTAGATAAAATCATAAAATAGTAACATAAAATGGAATCTAAGAATTAAAAGAAAATTTAAAATGTTTACATAATAGGTTTGGTTGTTTCTTGTTAAGCACAAAGCTACATAATGGGTTAGCTATACTCTGCCCATCACAGGTATCAAAACTAGATTTTTAGCAGTATAATTCATCAGAATTACCGGGCCATAAGGGGGACAATACAATGGAATATGATCAGTGAGATTTCAAAAAAGACAAAATGATTTGTAAACACTAAAGTGTAACACAATAACCACGAAAACATGTAAAACAACCATTTCAATAGCTTCTAAAGTATAAAATAAAATTTTCATATTCATAAAAAGACCTATCAAAGTTTATGGAATCAAAGCATTTTAAAACGTTAGTAGTTATGAGGTAGATTCACATACCCTTGGACCTGGGGGTCCAGGAGGCCCAGAAACTGGGATAAAATTTTCAAATTGATTTCCAGATGAAAATTTACCAGGTGGTCCAGGAGGACCCGGTGGCCCTGAATTTCCCTAAATAAAATAAAGGTTTTATTAGAAGTTAGTATATTATATAATAGTGTAAAGTTTTATTCATCAATTACTGTATGCAACTCTGCCTAGCCCTTACGATCTGGTGCAAAGAGTATCATTTTCAGTACCATAAATTACTCAACAGCATATGTATATATGAACCAATAACACACACGAACTAATGATACACACAAATCAACAGCACGCATGAATCAATAATGCAAATGAATCAACAACAATAAAGCAAAATTCATTTCTTACCTTTGGAGTGTGAAAGAAACATAGAAACTAAATGTCAATTTCAAAGTACTCACATTTGAATTAAAAAATACTTAGAACTTGATAAAAAGAAAGTGAGACTTCTTAACACACACACATTTAAAACTTATCTTGTTTGTAAAGTCATATAGTACCCAAAGGAGAAAGCCCATGTGTGTAACTGTATAGTCATATGTAAAAGGAATGTAACTCACTGGTGTAGTCAAGGGTAAATTGCATTTACTCACATCTAATTCTGTGGTCATGGTTTTTATCGTATGGAATTCACAATCTTTTTATTTGTGGAATATAGTGTTTGCTCACTCATTTAGTGAATATGGCATTGACCCAATTCTTGTTTAGTCCTTAGTGCTTATCATGCTATTGCCTGTCCTGAACCTCCAAAAAGAATAATTTATTAACTTCCCTTTTTTACTACTACACAACTGACATGTTTGTTAAATTTCTGATACGTTAAAATCAACTCAAATGTGTTTCCTCTTTTAGGTGCTCAGAAGTTAAAAAAAACAACATAATTTTATATGATAACGAATTCGTCATACTTTAGGTCCAGGTGTTCCTGGAATTCCTGGAAGACCTCTTTGACCTTTAAGTCCAGGAGGTCCAGCAAGACCTTTAGGACCATTTGGTCCAGGTTCTCCTTTTTCTCCTTTCAGTCCTATGAGCGGGAAGAAATTAAATATTATACTACAGTAGAATTTACAAGATATGTTTACAAAATCATGATACAACTTTTTTTTGAATATTTCTTACCAGTTCAGTGAAAGTAAGGTACAATAGTACACCTTTGAGCTCTTTTCTCTGAAAGATGCAGTTTTATCAAGTTGTATGAAAAGAGAAACACCTTAAAATAATCTAACACACCTTCCAATTTAAGTTTAAAAATCTTCTATCAAATGAAACTTACTTAAGTAAATTAGAGTACATAATTATCGTAATGTTTGTGTTGCCTTATGTTTAGACTGATTCCTAATAAGTTTATGTTTTAAATTGAAGTTCGGATTGCTATGAGTTACTATTACAGATAGGATAATTTGTATTTATTGACATATACCTAGATCGTGGAGGAAAAATGTCTATGACAGGGCCACTGCATGATGCATTACGATGTATTATTTGGCCACCAATGGTGGTTCAATAATATTAACTGCTACACTTTCAGAATGAAGGAACCATTCCACTAATCTGGTTACGATATCAGCGATCTTGGAATTGTAATTGTTAACAAAAATAGCTCACTAAACTATGAAATTCTTAACATATTCCTTCTGTTGTGGGTATTGTTGAAATGTGGATATTTAGCTTCTTCATACCTGCTGGTGGCCAACGTGTGATAATTTCATAATAATTAAATTTACAACATGTCTAACAAAAGCCTTTATCCTTGGCATTTCCTCCTCCAAATATCCTCCAGATTTTGCAATGCGCTGACAGTGCTGCATGAATTACGAATCTTCCTGTATATAGGAAATAACTGTTATTTTAAATTTCGGATTCAACATGTAATCTGTGACTCCGCGACAGCAAAAATGGTAGGAATCATGTCTGGCATTTAGTCCCCTCTTCTCTACAGGAATATGTTTTATTTTATAGGGAATCCGGAAGCGTACGCTGATCTATAATCGAACAACATCCAAATACATTATGATTGGTTTTTATCAGTAAAGCTGCTTGGTGTTTTTGCTTTAATTCAGACAATGACCATAGTCTTGTTGTAGTACTTTATTTGTGGAACACTCACCATTCCCGAACTTTTTGTGAAACCTCTGAAGAACTGATAAGACAACGAGACAAAATCTTTAAATGTTTGTTCCTGTCCAGATGGCGACCTGCAGGAGGGTAAATTTACGGGTGTATCCGACGGCTTGCCCTCAAATAGGGATGAAAGCAGGAGGAGGAAAACGATTCAAGATCGGGCAAGGAATGAAAAATATGAATGGTTTCTCTGAATGAAGTGCAATTATGAGAGAAAATTATTAAATAATGGCGAAATAGCACTTTGATAGTACAGAAACACTCTAACGACTACTACTCGAATCAAAGAAAACAGCAAAGCGAAATTATCCTCAGATCATGCCATACACAGTCATGTACCCCAATCTTAAATTCCGGATCTGATTGGATACTCCTCTACCTACCACAGTAGCCATAAATTTTGCCCTGGAGTCAGAGATTGCTTTAAACATTTTAAGAATTATCATTTCCTCAGTTTGGCTAACAAGGAAAGATGCTGTTTCCGAATAATTAAAACTATATCATAAGATGCTTTAGCAAAGAGGAGATCTGCATTTTAATAATGCAGTTTTTATGCATGTAATAACATTCCATCTCATTATAAATTGCATCTCAACAGGACATTTGAACACTTCAAAAACTAATATGACACTTTTATAAAATGAAAGTATCACATTTTATTTTAGGCCAACGTAACTCTTATGTTTTAAGTTCATAACACGCACACTAAAAAGTTTCAAAATTAATTCTTAAAATAGATTACACTATTTAGCTTTGTTTTAGTAAAATGCAGCGATTTTAAGATGTAAACAGTAAGTCCAGAATATGAAAATGTTTATTATAATAAATACTAAATAAAGTTAATAATTAGTATAAAACTTGATATATTTTTGACACAGATCTTTGTGTTGGTTATGCCCTCTTTCATGTATTTTTAAACCGTTTTTGCTTCTCATTATCAGTTTTAGGAGAGTGTAGTGTTACCTGGACTATATCTTACACCAAGACTGTTGTCTTCATATCCAATTCTGTTTCCAAAGTACTGTAAAAGAATAATATCAAGGTACAGAGAATTCTTAAATTAAATCCATGTTTTACATTGTCACTAAGCAAATTATTTTAGATAAGTGAAATTTATAGCAGAGAAGCTAACTTACCTCCTTAAAACACTGTAAAGAGGATGAGTATGCTATATTAAAACATTTTTGGAGATTTACTACGTAGTTATTGGCCGTTCATGTTCTATCTGACAACTGTGCATCTAGATATTATCCCTGTAGGGTAGTTTTCATTGCAAAAGATCCCCAAAGGCTGTCATGCCTAAAGCACGCCGCTTCTCCATGCTGGCTTTTCTTGATCTAGGTAATTTATGAGGATGATGGCTTCCTAGCACCCGTTTTAGCAGTCTGATTATATACAAATTCGCAGGCGCTACGTCCGTTGATTCGAATTGTGTCTATTTATATTGAATACCATAAATATATATTTTATTCTCCAGCTGATTAAGGTATGTGACAGTTGAATGGAAAGTATGACTTGAAGCCTCATCTTGGTGAATCCATACCCCATTGGCTTCATTTTCAGACAGAGATTCTTCTTGATTATATTGCCGTACTATTGCCTAGAGCACGTGGACGGCTTTTGACACTGACCTTTGTGTTCGTGGGTTCTCATCTGTTACAAGACGCCGCACTTTGTTTAACACAGTTGGGGTTTGACTTGTTGCAAGTCTCTTTCTGGATGCTGCTGGTTCCCAAAGTTGATCCATAATTCTTCCTTTTCCAATGCCATTAAGTACAAGGGAAAGTTCCAAATCCCCGATCTAAATACGTCTTTGTAGTCCGAGTGTATAGATATTTTTCGTCAGAAAGGACTGTTAAATACCCTTCACCAAAGTGATCAATTTTCGGTGCCATCACTCTGTCTATGAATCGCTAAGCAAGGTCAAAATAGTTCTAATGGATACCATTACTCTGTGACTTTATATCGGCTGTGGCTGTAAAATTTCTTGCTTTTTGCACACAGAAAATCGTATTCAACCCTCTATGTGTGTGTGTGTGTGTGTATTTTAAAATGTAATCTAAAAATGGGCAAAGATAAAACATACTAAGACAAAATATCAAAAACCCATTTAGTCATGAGTGGTATATAATTGTGTTCAATATCGTTGACGACAGTCCCTCTCTCCAATTATTCACCAGCGCTGGTAAGAATCTGTTGTGCAGCAACAGATGAACATGTTTGGAATTATTAAAGGGTCTAATTCAGGTTCTGGAACCCCATTGTCCTGAACCTAACTACACATTAACTGTCTGCAGCCAATTATGGGAAGTTAATAATTAAATAACATAATATCGTGTATAGCAGTTAGAGAAACAACAAAATAGAAACAGTAAACAGAACAAACTGTCAGAAGGAAGTCTTGATATTGGGAAGTGGTTTTGACACGTGTAGAAGACACACGAATGTGTCGAAACTAGTTTCTTCTGACAGTTTGTTCCGATTATTGTTGATTTATTTTTCTGTTATCTATAGGAAATTAGTTCCCAATAATAAAATCAAGTTTCATTTCATTTGTTTTGTGACATAGACATAGAATGTTAGGTGAAACTCACATTGAAACATCATTATTTAAATATCACTTAGGACTAACATACAATATTACACTAGTTATGCTGTGAAATCACAAGTTTGAAAAGAAAGGAAGTCAAAATGCTTAGCATCAGCCAAAACAAAATGTTTTTAAAATCTGTATTTCAGCTACCATTTTCTGCCATTTCTAAGTTATAAACTGTTTTAGGTACATCATATTTTAATCAAAGGGCTATAAAATACTGGGTAATGTATTTTAAGACAGCGAGTTTTTCTATATTCAACATACATAATATAATTGTTTCAAGTTACTACTCTCAGTCATGTCTGAATTATTTAAAACTTCTTAAAATGTATATTTCATAAATGACTATTATGAATACTGCAACATAATAACACTCACATTTTTTCCTGGTGGACCTGGAGGTCCTACTTCTCCTTTATCTCCTTTCTCACCAAACCCGGGTTCTCCTTTTAGTCCAGGTGGTCCTATTAAACCAGGCCTTCCCTGAAATATAATTGTTAGAAATACATTGTTTCATTTTTATTTAAATATTTCAAATTTGGAATGGTGAAAACGAGACGTGAAAATTTATACACCAATTAAATAAAAGCATGAAAAAATACACATCAATAGAATATAATGTTTCAACATTTTAATCAATTAATTGATGATATATAAAATGTTCCACCAATTAAATAAAAACATATTAGCTTTCTCACCAATAACAATATACCTGCAATTTATCTGCCAATGGTGTATGTGCATGTAAGTCTGTTCATTAATGAGAAGACTACATACAAGCATATCCACCAATGATGTAAGAGAATACATTATTATTCAATCAGGTGATCAAAATATTAAATACTACCCTATTAACATACTTTTATAGAATATTTTCTGATTCACTAAAGTTACTGTATTTTAGTATCTGCAATACGACATAATAGATGATCATTATTGTACAACTGTCGTAGTTAGTGAACTTAAAAATGCTGAAAGAAAAATCATATAATTATACATGCCCACCAGTAAAGAGAAAACATAAATTGTGTACCTGTAGAGAAAAGTATCCTCTCTACACAGAGAGTTCAAGTTTACTAAAATAAGCACTTTTCATAATATCAACAATAGATTAAGATAATGAGAAAATTCTATCCAACACAGTGATGATAACGCACTTCCCTTACATCTGTGTTTATAGTAGTTTTAAATTTACAGAATAACATGCTATTAAAATATCACTAGAGTTTATAAGCATATGTTCTAGTCTTGGAACTGAAGTTATGTAATAAAGATGTCCTCGTGAATTTTAGTAGAAATTTTCGAGAACCAGCTAACTTTGTAGGGGATTTTAGTTTCTAGGACCCAAATGGTTTTTCCTCACTCACGGGAAACTAAGTTCAATTAAAATTAAAACTCCCAATATTCTATAATATTCTATTAGTCATAGTATATTGCTTAATGTTACTCATTCAAGAGGATCTCTTTTAAAATAAATACACTAAGTTCAAATTAAACATCTTTTATTTCTTAGTAAATCCATTTTGCTAGACATCTCACAAGTTTGCTTCCCAAGAGAAACACCTAGTACAGAGACTATTGATAAAATGTGATATTCACTATTAAGCATCATCAATTACATAGAGTAAGAAGTCTTCGTTTTAACTTTATCCGTATTTCATCTTTTCTTCTTTGAAGTAATGAAACATGAGATTATGTATATTTTACCTCCATCAATAAATATTTGTAAGAATATCATCATGCATATATTAAAAAAAAAATCGAATCTAATTTCTACTTACAGGAAATCCGGGAAATCCAATTTCTCCTATGGGTCCTTGCTTTCCTGGAGGACCAGGGAGTCCAGGAGGGCCACGTTTTCCTCTTCGGCCCCGAATGCCTTTATCCCCTTTCTCACCTCTTTCTCCCTAAATTTAAACGTGTAACTTTCATTAAATACACAAAAGGTTAAAACTTTCATTGTACATATATACTGTTTAATTATTCAGTATTTATCACTACTAAATACAACAGCACATAATAGTATGTTATAGTCATTCTTGAAACACATGATTATAATACGGATAAGGTCAATAACACATGTTTAATTTATGTAAATTTATCCATGGAAATTATGTTAAGCACTACAGAAATAAAGCCAGTCTTACCTAAATAATCATTATAAGATTTTCTGGGTTGTATATCAGTTGTCTTTAATTGATTTTAAAGAATTTCAAAGTATAAAATAAATATATAATATTCTATTTCCTGTTTATTCACATCAGAAAATTAAGTGCCCCGGCATGGCCAGGTTATTAGGGCGCTCGACTCGCAATCTGAGGGTCGCGGGTTCGAATCTCCGTCCAACCAAACATGCTTTTCCCTTTCAGCAGTGGGGGCGTTATAATGTGACGGTCAATCCCACTATTCTTTGGTAAAAGAGAAGCCCAAGAGTTGGCGGTGGATGGTGATGACAAGCTACTTTTCCTCTAGTTTTACATTAAATTAGGGACGGCTAGCGCAGATAGTCCTCGTGTAGCTTTGGGCGAAATTCAAAAACAAACAAACAATAAAAACATTAGAGTGAACATGTTTGTTGGTATTTTTATAGCAAAAATGATTTCAACGTTTACATTTAAAATTCGGGGTAGCTTTGCGCAAAATTCAAAACAAATTATTATTTGCCCCCCAGTGGAACAGTAGTATGTCTGCGGACTAACAACGCTAAAAACCGGGTTCAGATACCGTGGTTGGCAGTAAAAAAAAAAAAGAAGGTCCCCCGCTGAGACAGCGGCAAGTCTTCGGATTTACACTGCTAAAATCAGAGGTTCGATTCCTCTCGGAGGACACAGCAAATAGACTGATGTGGCTTTGCTATAAGAAAATCACATATACACACAGAGAAAATTAAAATTGTATATAATGCAGTGCAATAATACTCAGTTAAGCCTTTATTATGTAAGGCCTATATTCGCCTAAGTGCACATGCAGTTCATTTGAACGGATGTAAACAAAAGGCAATATAAATATACTTCAATACACATTTTGTACAAAAACATATTGTTACATATCTGCTTGTTTGTTTGTTTCCGGTAGAAATTCTACCGAGGATCTTCAGTGATACAAGTCATTTCTTGATTAAATCAGTTTATTTTTCCTCGATATAACTTTTAGTGCACAGTAGTTACACATTCAGTATGTTTCTTGTCACTTTAAACTTAACAACTTTTATAATACACGCTATAAATCACAGCGATTCACAATTTCGACAACTTCGCTCTCGACGGGTGCAAAACATACACTTTACGGTTCATTAGCTTGAAACTATCAGAATCATAAATTACACGGAACTCAAAGTAATTACTGATCTCTCTTCATTCATCACTGCTGGCTTTCCCTGCTTGCCAGGCTTATATATTAACGAAGAGGGCATCTCGAACACACTCGGACTTCCCCGATCATTCGAGAAACTCATCACGCACTCTACCAGCGCCAACGCACCAGCAGTGTCACGTGACTTCCGCTGTAGTAACACTGCCCTTTCCTTAGTATTGGTCGTACCGAACAATAGCCACTTACTTTAAACCAATAGGTAATTAACAATAACTTAATTAAATGTACAAAGAATTTACAAACACAAAATTAAAATGCAACAAAGTCTCTTAATTTTACAGGACGTTTCTTTTGTCGTACTGGTCTCCGTCTCATTGGTTTCTGCTTCACGTGGAATTCATCTGCTCCATCAAGAAATGTCCCATTATCGGTAGCAGTGACATCAGTGGTAGTAACTTCATTAACAGCTTCACTGTTTTTCCTCTCAAAACCGGGTAGAGCTTCTTCTTCAACAGTGGCTTTTTCAGATGACACGTCTTCAGCAGCGTCATTTGTTCTGTTGTCCACTTCGTTCCAACTGAAATGTCTTGGGCTGTGATAACGCCAAAGCCTGTTGGCATGCACCACCTTTGGCTTACCTTGCTGACATTATTTTAATTCGGAAAGTCACGTCTGAGAGACGACCCACTATGTCATATGGGC